GGAATTAAAGTCATAAATGAAATGGACCTTAGGTCTCCAACCACATGAGCTTTGAGGCCGCAGGGGTATGTAACTTTTGAGTTTTTGAACCAATTGAAAAACACCGACCAAGTGCGAATCGGACTCGCGTACGAAGGGTTCCGTGCCGAAAACGAGCAAAACAAAACACGTTTTTTGTATGGGAACCCCCTTAAATATTTATTTTACTAGCTGTAACCCGCGTGGTCTGAGAGTACTGTGTGCACACTGGCTTGCTTTACTCGCGTCTTAAGCTAGTCTTAATTAAAAATCTGCCATATCCACCTATATATCAACATCATTCATCATCAAAAATTTACCGGTGGATAAGAGCAATTGGACTTTTCTATGAAGAGATGCCTTTTCATAGAAAAGTCCAATTGCTCTTCCTTCCATCTTAGTGTGCAGTAAAATTAACATGCCTTATAAAAATACAAACAACTGTTTTCTTTGAAGCAGTAGTTCGTATAATGAAATCTTTTAATAATTACGCTTTCATCTAGATAATTGCCTACTGTGCTTATTCTCGACTTTCAGATAAAGGGTTTCATATTCTTAATACAAAATGCTTAAAAAATCCAATTGGTCCCTGGCACCAGATGGGAATCGAACTCACAACCTTTCGCAATCCGGGCGACTGCTCTAACCACTGAGCTTCCCAGGACCCAATAGGACTGACGAATCCTTCAAGCACTTGTTACTTTTCGCTATTACAGAGCGCATTCTCATCAATGTGCAGGCATCCATCAGGAACATATTTCAGTATAGCATTGCGAAATTGATCAAATATAATAAAGGGTTTCATTTTAAGGGTTTAAAATGCCTGATCCTCATAGCAACTCGATGGTCAGCTTGTTTTTGCTTTCTAAATTCAGCATTTTCTGATTTTAGTGTAGGAAACAGTATTGACGACAAATTTAATTTTGCCAACGGACATTCTGCCATTTCTATAATGTAGGTATACGAATATAGTTTCTTCCACTCAGTATTTTTTTATCCCATTTATTATTTAACTCTGATACTTTAAATTTTTGTTGCTATTTTAGATAAAACTGTTTCTTACAATTAGTAGCTCATTTTAAGTATTTGATTTTTAGTCATTAATAATTATCGGCAATTTAATACCTACATTTTTGTAAACATAATTTTACGCCCCTCGGTTATGTATTAAAGTATCTCGATAATAGTCAACCATTATATTAATAAATATTTTTGACTTAAACCGTGGATTGACGAACAGACAGATGGACATGGCGAAACTACGAAGGTTCCTTGTTAACTATGGATATTTGAAAATGAAAGCTACTTTGATAGATAAAATCGGAAAAACAATAAAGACAACAAACATTAAAAAAATCAAAGCCTCGATTTAAAAATACAGTAGCGCCATTTAGCGTTAATTGTAACATTTCATTTAATCGTCTGATCAACAATTCCGCATTAAATGATGTTATTGGAAAAACCGCAAAATTGAAAACGAAAGCTACTTTGTTTGATAAAAATCGAAAAAAAATTAAGACTACAAATATAAAAATCAACATCCCGTTTTAAAAGTACGGTAGCAACAGCTAAATGTAACATTTTCGTGTACTACCTACATAACCAACTTATGCATTTAATATTAGCGACAACGATTTTACCGATTTGAATTATTCTAAACATTATTTAATCCTGTGTAAACAGCTAACATAACTGAATAATTACAAATAAAATTGTAAACATTGGTTACTATGGTAACGATTTAAAGCCCTATACGAAATTTAAATCCCATTTCCACCCCCTTATGTGCTTTTTTCGAGATAAGATAGACTTTTGCTGTTATATTTTCCTTGGTATCTTTTTTTTATCACCGTGATGTCCTGATGGAATCTTTCTCCGTGCTCGTCGCTTACCGCACCCAAGTTTTCTGGGAAAAAGTCTAGGTGAGAATGAAGAAAATGAATCTTCGAAGACGTATTACATCCTAAGATTTATAATCCTGAAGTAACTTAGAAACTATCTCCTTATAGTTTGGAGACTTCGTGTTTCCGAAAAAATTTTTGGTCACTTCGACAAAGGAAAGCCATGCATTTTTTTCAATCTTAAGCAATAATAACTAGGTGACCAACTCTTAGTAAGTAATAGTATCAGGAATGTTCAAACCAAAATACTAATTGTAAGTGTTACTAAGTACGGTGTAGTAGGTCGTTCTCGATCAGAAGTTGAAGTAAACTCTCCACAAGTAAAACAAAAGAGGTCGGGTGAATTTAAGCATTTTCGACTCATTGAATAATATGCTTCTTTAAAACACAAACTTATGAAAATAAACTTAAAAAATCGTCACAAATAGAACCCGTTGGAAAAGCACTAGAAATGGAACAGACTCAACTGTTATAGTAGTATTAAGTGACTATAACCCAATGATAACGAACTGAAAATATGCACAGATATGAGGGTTTGTTGTGATCTCAAAAATGCCACATCTTGTTTTTGTTAATATAGCCAATCAAAATACTTATTTTCGATATACTGTCAAAATTTTTTAAGTTTAAAGTAAATCGTTTATTTAGATATTTTGATTTATTTAGTAGTATTAAGTAACAATAACCTAATGATAACGAACTGAAAATATGCACAGATATGAGGGTTTGTTGTGTTCTCAAAAATGTCACGTCTTGTTTTTGTTAATATAGCCAATCACAATACTTATTTTCGATATACTGTCAAAATTTTTCAAGTTTAAAGTTAATCGTTTATTTAGATATTTTGATTTATTAGATTTTTTTTATTATTTTTTTTGTAGATACTTAGACATGAGAGATGTCAAAAATATATAATTTAATTAACGGCAAAAAATCATGTTAACCAGTGTTATTAGTCATAGCGTGATATATGTTATATAGCGTAAAGTAAAGTAAAGCTTTATAATTAGTAAAATTTTTGGTTTTAGTGTTCGTTGTTATAGCTGCAACAGAAATATATCTGTGAAAATTTCAACTGTCGAAGTATCATGGTTCGTGAGATACATCCTAGTGACAGACAGACTGACAGCGAAATCTTAGTACTAATAGAGTTCCGGTTTTACCCTTTGGGTACGGAACGCTAAAATGAAGACGCACCGTATTATTTCATTAAATTATTATTTTTTCACTTTGATATTCATTGTCTTGCGAAATAACAACACTTTTGTGATCAAAAGCCTCTTTAACTATAGTTTAAAACAAAATGGATTTCCACTGTTTTTTCGCCGAGATCTTTTAAACTATATAACAAATTTTAATGCAGTTTTCTTCAATATACAGAGTAAATCAAGAGGAATGCATGTATAATACAAGACCACGCAGGCGAAGCAGGTGGACAACTAATATTCAATAAAATGACTCTCTTAGAACTCTTTGAGGGTAGTAAAATAAAAAAAAATATAATTTATATGGTCATTATGACAATGCCAATTCTTCATTACTGATTATTTACTTTTATTATCGTATTTTTAAACTCACTAAATGGGAAGTTTTTATATTCTGCGTAAAAAATGTACAACAGTCAAGAGTACACATATCAAATGTTTCTACTTGATTTTAAACTTAAGTGTTGTATTAGTAGGGAAAAATCAACTGGAAAAATTTGACATAAGCTGACGTGCAGCCGTGTGTACTTAAATTATTACTATTTCTTTTAAGAAATTATTTATAGTATTAATTTATTTATAGTATTATGAAATGCCGTTGTATGGGTTGTTCGTGTATTTTGCCTTTTAAACAAATATGTTCATCTTTTTTCTCTTGCGTATTTTCATACTCAGACATAAAACGACTTTGGAGCAGCGATGGGCCTCCTCTTTTTAATAATTAGAAAAAAATAACATTAAATTTGCGAATAAATAAAATTCGATGCTTTTGGAGCAATTTAAAATGACAAGATGGTAAATGCAAATGGTTTAACATTTTTTTTTCTCAATTAGAAATTGCAATGAATATTATAAAATATATAATAAGGAAAAGATACTTTATGTTCATCTTAAAGAAAAATGCCAGAAAAATTCACCAATTCCCAGGTGCCCTAGATGAGTTTGTCCCGTGACTGCTCTAACCAATTATCTCATCGAGACCTAATAATAATTACTTTATGCTTTTCAAAACATATTATAGATATTCCTATTCGTTGACAAAAAATAATGCTTAATTTGTTTTTTAAACACTTGCACATAATAGAAAGCATAATAATCGGTCATATAAAAATAATCTTGATAATATTTACAAGATTGTTGTCTGCAATTTCCTTTTATGATATAAATTGTATATAACCGATACTATTTTGATATATAAACTGGATCACCTATCATGAAAACCGGATAAAACCACTTTTTTTCGGGTATATCACTGTCATATCTGAGGGTAACTAGTTTACACCAGTTATTTAACATGTTTTTTCCTTATAGATAATATCAATGGGGGTATATTTTTGTTTTATTGATAAACGGTATTTTTATCAAATCATTACTTTTATTGAGTCATCTTTTCCTTATTGTAATTATATAATATAACATGGTTATTAAGTATAATTTTCCTAAGCATAATATTATTTATATCCAAAGCATTTTAAAACTAGTATATATGGTGGTCGCGAGTCCATATTCTTGCAAATAAACAATTATTATTATACTCGATGCCGCGGCACGCTCAACTTTATAGCTCAGCTCGATTTTCATTTCAGCTCACAGTTCTAACCTAACCCAACCCACTGATCGATTTTTTAATGTCTAGGAACATTATGTGAAAAAATATTATACCAAAGTACATTATTATAAGGGCTCCCCTCAGTGGGAGTGTGATTCCAGTAAGCCATCTCCTTGTAAATTCCATTTATTGCTTTTGTTTTGTTTTTCTAGATTTAGGTGGTGCAAATATTATCCTTTTGATGATTTTATTTTTTCGAATAAAATGTATTTTTATTATTTTATAATCTTCAATTTTTTTTTGTTTAAGTCAAAATAAAGAAGAACTAGAACTCAATACAATAATTTATTTGTAATAATGTTAACATAATTTTATTTACAGCATCTGTAGTCGTAATACATTTTACTTTACTTAATCGATACTTACATCATGGTAACTAAATTGATGTAGTGTGAAATAAATAAATAAATAACAAATTTATTTCCTCGACCACTTCGTAAATCACATTTTAATCTTTAAGAAAATAAAATATTTAAAAAATATGGTCTACTAAAATGGCCTAATAGGTATATTAGTTGACTGCTACATCATATTTTTATTTACAAAATAAGTAATACGTTAAACGTAAATATTATCACATATTTGTCTTTTAACACCGCAGCCTGCGTCATCTAGCAGTAGTTTGAGTGATGTAAGTGTTTGACAATGCATTATTTATATATCTACGAGTAGTTCTCATTCTAGCTGCGGCGACACTGTCAAATACCCATTTCGAGCTAACTTTGCCGTCGTCAATGCCTATTGTCAAATCATGTTCGCCATTTTGTTGAGTGTCGCCATCTTGTATGACGGCCCCGCATAGTTTTAGCAGCTGTACAACAGAGTCTTTCTGTTCAGCGTTGGGTGAGATACGAACTCGCATACCGTAAAATACGTCGTAAGCGTATTCTGAATGAAGTTTACCGAGTGCCGTACGTTCTATTCGCGCTTTCTAGAACAGAAAATATAGATAGATATATGAAGTAAATGAATATTCACTATTTACAGATCACTATCTTTCTTTACAGATCCACATTGACTCCCTTATGTTAGAAAAAGACAAAATACAGGCGTCATGTGTAGACTACGGATTATCAAACTGTTTTGGGCAATAAGGGGGGGTTTCCTTTTTAAAATGAATTGTCATCTCATATCCCCAGCGAAAAAACTTTAAAAATCCCATCTCTAGTTTTTTGTTGTTATAAAATACTAATTATTTTGAAAATTATACGATAAGTTAGTAAACTTTAAAACATTTTGTCATCAAAATTTAACAAAATTAATATACACTTTTATTAAAATATTAGATTTTGTAACATGCTGGTACACGTAACATAATTTATACAGTATCTTGAAAGTAATAAGATTTTTTTAGAGATCAATTTTTAAACTTCATCGAGCTCCAAAATAATTTACTCTCATGTCGACTCTTGGAAAAAAAAACTGCGACCCCAAGGGTTGGAAATTGACTACTTTGGGAATCCTTGGTCTACACAAAAATAGGGTTTACTAAAACTGAGAAGGCTTTTGCCCTATGTAAGTTTTAACTCAATGATAATAATATGTTACAGACCTCTGAAATCTTCTTCAGGTGTGGTATTTCGTATCCGTGGTGATGTACCCATTGGTTTTGTCTAGCAGATTCTATTGCCCATAATGGATTTAATATTCTTGCTCCGCGTGCCGCTCCTAGTAATGCGTTTAATGTTCTAGGTTTTGTTGCGTCACTTCTTTGTACCGCGTATGCATCTAAAATGTTAATAGAAATACACATTAAAATTGTTATAGTAGAACGTTTTTTGTATAATTTTAAGGCACTTTAGTTTAAGTTTTAAAACTTGTATATTGCGCTCATAGGTTGCTGCTACGGTTCGTTCGCTTCGTTCGCTCGGCTCGCTTTTTGTTTAAGTTTTATTTCTAACGGATTGATTAAAATGATTATACCAATATAAACTACCAATAAAACTTACCTATTATTTTTCCTAAAGATATCCGGAATCCATCTTGAGTCAAGCATCATCCTTTTTGTGACGTTTCCGGTCCAAAATACTACCTCCCATCTTACTTCCGGCGCCTGTGCTGCCATCTAGTTTGCGGGTAGCGAACCAATGACTTTTAGGCACGAACGCTTACCGTCATTATACCTACTCTAGATGCACCAGGTAGAACTTACCTGGATTCCGGATATCTTTAGGAAAAATAATAGGTAAGTTTTATTGGTAGTTAAAACTCTCTATTATTTGTTCCGTTCGATATCCGGAATCCATCTTGAGTGATGTGTTTGTTATCTCCTGGTGAGTGCCATTGGTGACGCTATAATGTGTTGCAGGTATAAAAAGTCAAATGTAGTCTGATGAGAAAAAATAATGCATATTATAAGTATATTACGCTATTACATACATAGTGCATATATTATGCTGTTACATAACAATGCAATTATAATAATTATTCAAGTATTTCGGTAATCTAAGCTAAATAAATTTTGGCTTATCTGTTATCGGTCAATATCATTAATGAATTGAATGGAATAATAAAAATGTAAATACATAGATATCGGAATTTTCTTGATTGTCCGATTTATCAGTTTTCGATAGGACTTCCTAAAAGTATATTCTTGGCGCCAGTTTTACAGTTTCAGTAATTTATCCATCGGAAACAATTCCAGTCAATTTAGAGATGGAACTGCAGATGTAATAGACCCTGAAGAATCTTCTACATTATGTGCTTCTATTTAGCATTTTTGAGAACAGAGTAGTTAACTCGTGAAAATTACTTCTTTTTGGGGCTCTTTCAATACAAAAATTGATCGCGTGTCCAATACATGCAATCGAATGATTTGTGTCAGTTAATCATTTCTATCCAGGCTGTCATAATTACTATTATCTGTTTTTAATACAAAATGGGGTCATAAGACAAAAAATCATTTTCGTTACTTCAAAGGTTAAAAGGGTTAAATAATGGATTCTGCGACCTTGAAGATTGTGAAATTGTGCTAAATTTCCAGCAACTTAAATAGAGTCAATTCTGCCAATTTCTACGTAAAATTTCCATTGTACTATATACCTGAAGTCTAATATTATTTGTGCAATGTCTTCCTAACAATTCAATATTGACAGATATATTTATTATTTTATGATCTAGTAACAAGAATGTGTCATAAAGGGTTGTAGTCGAAGCGCTATTGACCCTCCACCATTACGCCGACATTAGCAGAATTTCCCTACCGGGCACTTGTTATTTGCAGAATTTATACTAGTAGATATTTATAGTCGCTTTACATTAACTCGATAGTTTCAAGATTTTCTTTATTTTATTTTATTCTGCCCGACTTTTAAATAAATTTTCTGAATTTCGGGGGATGAACACCTGTTGCCATACCTATTGCAGTATTTGCGGAAACAAATCGTCAGCCAAGACACTTCGTCCCATTTTGGAACAATCATAATGTACTTACTTGCCTTGACGCTTACTGGAGTCGAGAAAGTATTTGCGGAATCATGTTTGAATAAGGCCAGCTTGCATTTTCACTGATGACGTCATGCGTTATGACCTATTAGTTTGCTCGTTCGTCACATCCATTGTCATGTACCTGGGAATGACGTGTGCTTTTGTCGATGGAATAAGTTCACATCTGGTGAACGTTGGGCTGCTAGATTTAGTATTCAGGCTATGCATAATATCTGAATCTGCCTTGTTCGTGTCATAATTACAATAATATCCTAGATTTGGTCCCCCATCTTTGTTTATGTACGGGAATCAGTACAGTTCTCTTAGCATTTACATCTAGGCATTCCGCGAAATGAAGACTCGCGTGAGTAATTGCCTCGAGTTGAGCACTCGAACAGATTTCCTATGCACCTGTCCTCGGATGTTGAGCGATTTGCGTTGCATTTATTGGAAGGTATCATGATACAACAGTTACTTACCATTTAAAGTCATTCAGTACTGGGTCTGGTAATCCGAATAGGTAGTAATAGTTTTAAGCTGTCGATGTTAGTATTGCAGTGTGCGACAGTGTAACCACCCTCTTCGAATCACAAACGAGGCAAAGTCGAGTCTCCCCATTAGGAACTGGGCCTGTCTGAGGGACTAACCGCCTTGTACAATCTGATGCTGAAGTGCCATGCGTAGCGAGAAGCGTTCGGTTCAAACAGGGACTTCACTAAATGTTCAGTACTGAGTCTGGTAGTTTGATTCGGTGGTAATGGTGATCTTTGGGCAACTGTCGATGGTAGTATTGCAGTGTGCGATAGTGTAGTCACCCTCTTCGAATCACAAACGAGGCAAAGTCGAGTCTCCTCATTAGGAACTGGGCCTGTCTGAGGGACTAACCGCCTTGTACGATCTGATGCTGAAATGCCATGCGTAGCGTGAAGCGTTCGGTTCAAACAGTGACTTCGCTGAATGTTCTGTACTGAGTCTGGTAGTTTGATTCGGTGGTAATGGTGATCTTTGGGCAACTGTCGATGGTAGTATTGCAGTGTGCGACAGTGTAATCACCCTCTTCGAATCACAAACGAGGCAAGGTCGAATCTCCCCATTAGGAACTGGGCCTGTCTGAGGGATTAACCGCCACGTGTAGTCGCCTCGTGCTGAAGTGCCATGCGTAGCGTAAGGCACTTCGGTTCCGACAGGGACTTACCCCTGACTTCCCCGGCACTTCCCGGCACCTCGTGACCGTGTTGGTCACGATGCACCAGGCAACGCCGAGGAAGTTCAGAACCAGCACACACTGCTCGAAGTTGAGAGACCACCCTAAGCGCTGCTATTGTGGTAGCGCAGTTGTTGTGTTGGTCTATGTAGCAAAGTTTTTGAGTACCGATGGCAGTTCAAAGAGACACGTCAGTTGCATTAGGTAGGTTGTTGTATGCCAGTCTCAAGAACCTGTGAACCAGATGTTGTTCGGCGATACTCAAATGAAAATACTTTTGGCTCGGATATATTTTCGTAAACCATTCGTTTTGTATGAGAATGTTCGGAATACGAAAATTATTGATCAGTCGAAAAGGTTTTATTTTGACAAATCAGTGTCGTTTTAAATGTAATTGTCGGGCTTTAACATTAGAAAAGGAAATGATACAAAACAGGGTGTTTTTTGTAATCTCTAGTATATTAATTTGAGCATTGCAAACGATATTTGAAGATGGCTTAAAATCCCACGCATAAAAATATAATTTTTATACCATCACATACCTACATAGTTTAGATACCAAATGATATAGTTAAACACTTGTATTATGGAAATCTGAAACAACGAAGGTAACAACACCCAGACCAGAGACAATATAGAAAAGCTCATTATCTGCATTAACATGACCGAGAGTGGAATGCGGGAGCTCAGAAATGGTGACACCTTGGAACTGGTCAGCCACTCGCCCAAGATCCGACATATGCAATCTGGAACATCCTGATTGTTCCATAAACTTACAGATCGCATTAGATAGCCCCCTCCAATGTGTTATGTCATGCATTGTATTTATTTCTAAAGTTTAATGAACTGGTCTCATTACCATTTAAATATTGGTGTGTACTTCTGGTAATCTACCTTGAATCAACTTGCAGTTGCAACCATTTTATGCACCCACTTGTTTTTTGGGTGCAATATACTATTATCAAAGAAGAACTTGTTCGTCTTCCTATCAGCCAAAAGACGCCCCGAACGAGTGGTGGGGAAAAATGTTGGACGATTCAAAAGAGAAGTCTATTTGGATAAATATTATTTTGACTTTGACTTTGAACTCTGAATTTGGCAAAAATTTCTGTAAAGGCACCTCAAAAACTTCTCCACGGCTCTGAACACATCAGTGCGTCTGCCACTTAATATTTGGAAAATATAATCCTTGATGAATGTTGATTAGATTTTATCAAAAAGCTCTTTAGCATTAAGGTCTTTAGCAATAGATCAATCTACAATTTGTTGTAAACTAGTTCTAAACTAATTGTTTCATACTTTAATTCTGTTAAGGTATTTGTTAATGCTGTAGATTGTACCATTTCTATAAAATATAACTATAATGATTTCTCTTCTCGCAAATAAAGATCTTAAATCATCAATTGTTGTAGCATAAACAAATCGCCTCAACTTATAATTTAATTTGAGCATGTTTCATCTAATTTGGTTTCACCATAGACTGGGTCTTTAACGTTATTAAGAAAAAATAAATCCTATTTGAACTTATGTTGATTGTTTTACTATAGTAGGTACATAAAGAAAATTATCACCAGTCGTAACCGCTGCAAGTAGGAACTGTTCAGGACCGTGGGGTCGTAGGGAACGTGATGGTGGCTGTGGTTGCCATAATTGCGGTCCTGGTATGGATACTATGTGCTATTTTGTTATGGAAAAATGCACAGGTGGATTTAGTTTTCCAGTTTTTATCATGCATTATCAATAATGTCACTGGTTGGGGTAACAAATCGAATGCAAATCACTTACAGTTTTTCTCGCCTCTGTACCTTACTTGCTCTCTCCGAGCTGGAATCCGACGACACTATTCGACGAGCTCGAAGACAATAAACACGCCTGCTTCAATGCTGTTTTCTTTGTTTATTTCGCTGTCCCGTTGCTCCATCGCGAAGGGAGGTTAATTTTATATTCATTTCATTTTAATTTTAACACTAAACTATATAATAATAAGTATAATTTGTGCACATTTTATGTAGGACCGATGTTTTCGCCACGAAAAACGACGCTATAATGACGGTAAGCGTTCGTGCCTAAAAGTCATTGGTTCGCTACCCGCAAACTAGATGGCAGCACAGGCGCCGGAAGTAAGATGGGAGGTAGTATTTTGGACCGGAAACGTCACAAAAAGGATGATGCTTGACTCAAGATGGATTCCGGATATCACTGTTTCAACAGTAGATTTGTTGTTTTTAGCTTGATGTCCTTATTTTCTGTCTCATTTCCTAATTTTTACTGATTTTTCATTAGCGTTTTGCGCCATCAAAAACTATGCAAAATTGCAAATATAATCCGAAATAATGAGATGAAAATATCTTTATTTAAGTAGGCTTATTACATGCACTTGAGTCGTCCAAAACATTTTTTCCCCTACCACTTTTCCAGAAAACTTACCAGCTCTTTATCATAAGTAATGACATTTACATAAATCATATCAATCGCTACTCAGTTGAAATTACATAAAGGCACATGAAATAATTCAACAAAAGTATGTATGCAAAGAGAAATACACTGTAAGTGTTATGAACGAATTTAAAAAGGAAAATAATTTAATTTTTCTTCTTTTTTTTGCGGACAACATTATAATATTACAATGTATAAAAGTATTTTATTGTTTTAATTATATGCCTCTTTCACTTAACCTACTGTTTTTTATAGTTTCTTGGGTTTGGCAACACTAAACGTCATACTATCATTGCCAAATAATGCAACTCATTATTTTTTTAGCCGGTAATTTAACATGTATATATAATAATTTAGGGAACCAGCCCTAATTTATCTCACCTGTATCATTAAATGGCCGAACATTTCCCATGTTAAAATGGTTATGTTGTGTATTGTCATCATGTTTACAGTTGCCGAGTATAACATGTGTAGTATTCTTAGTGACGCGACACTGTATATGACCGTTCAGCTTACGTATTGCCTCTAATGTTGCTCGACGTTCCGTTTTATTCATACCTGTTAACACCTACAAGACAAGTGTTATATTGTATTACTAGCAGCCCTTAGCTTCGCACGGGTATTTAGCAAACAATATAAATTTTAATATGCAATCGTTTTTGTCAGGGGTCGTCAACTTGCGGCTGTTTCGATACAAAGTTGCGGCTCTTAAGAACTATTAAAAAAAAAAATGAAATCATAATTGACATTATCGATAGCTCATTAAAAATAGGGAAACCTGAATAAAGCAGAACTTTACTGACAGAGGAAACTGACACTTAATGATATTTAAATATAGATCTTCAAAAATTAATACAAAATCTACAAAGAGAGTATATTTACATACTATATATAAAAAGGATATTATTTTTCATAACAGCTGAGTATCGATACCGTAGTACGATTCGAGATATAATGACTTTGACTAAGAGATGGATGTTTAATGTCGTTTATCTTTACTGTTTCTTTGTATGTATTGAATAGGCACCGAAACTATTGGACCGATTTTAAAAGTTCTCACCCACGGTTACATCATACGCGGGTGACATAGGCTATAATTTACGCGGAATAAGTCGCGAGAAAATAGCTAGTTTTAAACATAATATAAATAATATTAAACGAAGTCTTTAAAAACGGTGAAATTTTGTAAATTGTGTAGCTTTTGGCTATTCCGTCATACGTTCATATTTGTTACTTGGAAAGTATTTATTTTATAAAAAAAAGAAATAATGTACTACTCGAAATCTAATTATAATTATTTACAGAATTTGCTTCTACATAAGTTGTTTTAATTTCCGATATTTTGACAATGTTACAATCGTCATAATAACGGAGTAGCTGAGTCGGGTAAAAGTAGCTCGGTGGCGTAGTGGATAAAGGCCGCGGCCCGCGATCGTTGTCGTTAAGCAACTTTCGCAAGGGTCGGTTACGGGATGGGTGACCAAAAAATTATTATATCGAGATAGTTCGTGCTTCGGAAGGCACGTTAAGCCGTTGGTCCCGGCTGCATTTGCAGTCGTTAATTCTCGCCAATCCGCATTGGGCCAGCGTGGAGGGTCATGGCCCATCCTCTTTAACCATCCACAAGGAAGGCCTGAGCCCCTGCAGTGGGGACGTAAAAGGGCTGATGTTGATGATGACGATGAGTCGGGTCGCCCGAATGAAGGTAGATCGATAATCTGTCAATAACATCTACCTGCAAGAGTTCTGTAGCTCCGTGATCATGGCGCTTGCAGTATAAATATAAAGACTTTTTAATTGTAATACAATAAAAAAGTAGCGATCTCAAAAATAACTATTACGCCAATGTTAGTGACCAAAAACTTTTGAAACAATATATTGCTACTCGATTGCTAATAAGTCTACATGTAAGAATAACACGTTGATACTTCATTGAAGCTCGCAAGTGTAGCGTCCTTGTCCGCTAATTAAGAAAACATCACCATCAGCCCTTCAACCTCCCAGTGGCTCAGGCCTTCCTTATGGATGGTTAAGGAGGATGGGCCTTAACCCTCCACGCTAAAATAATACGAATTGGACAGCATTAACTACTTCAGATGTAGAGGGATAACGGCTTAATATGCCTTCAGAAGTACGGAGTATGTCGAGCCAATTATTTTTCGGTCACCCATCCCGCGACCGACCCTTGCGAAAGTTGCTAGGAAACAAAGATGAGACTGCGGGCCGCGGAGCTTACCACCGAGCTGCTCATTAAACATTCGACCCACTCATACAATAACATCACACGTCAGGGTTTACAAAATTGTATTTCTCTACTTCAATTTTTAATCTTATTTCATTGACGGTAGAGGTAGAAATCAACGGCAGAAATTTCATATATTGTGGTAGCTTGAGTGCTTAAAACCCTCTAAGTAATTTTTGCTAATTAATCTACAAACCGGCTAAATTATTATCTTTATATTTTTAACCAGCTTTACTCCAGCGACTTCACTCACGTGGTTCCTAGGGAACTGTTTGTTTAGTGGGATAAAACATAGCCCATATGTTAATCCAGGTTTAGAATTTAATTTAATAATTGATTTCGATAAGGTTTCATATCATTACAAGGATGTAATTTCAATGACAAATTGAATAGTAAACAATAGTTACTATGGCAACGTTTTAATTTCCCATACAAACTTTCACTCCCATTTTCGTTCTTTTAAATAATGTTTTTCGGGATAAAATATAGTCTATGTTCATCGCATATGATGTAATTACCCGTAGGTTTCGAAACCTATTCGTTGCAAACAAACAATCAAATCTTTAGTAGTAGTTCGATAGTATAGAGAAGAATGTTTATTGACTCACTATGCGTGGTTGTATGGTGCGAGCGGTAGCGGTAGCGGGGGCGGGTGTACATGCGCGCATGAGTCGCTTGGCCATTCGCTCAGCGCGGGCGAGATCGCGTTTCTCGCGAATACTCGGTCTCATCACACGTATCACAGGTTTTGTTCCGTTCTCAGATTGATCTGATATTAGAATCACATGTAAAAAAATATATACAGCGAGTATCTAAAACATTATATTAATTTAATATTAATGCCCTCTGTCCTCCAATAGTAGACAGATGCCGACATAGAAAAATTGATTGAAGCTAGTAGTTACGTCATAACTTGATAGATGGCGGGATATATAATAAGCATTAGCATACTTTTCTTTTAAGTGAAAAACCGCTTTACACATATTTAGGTAAGCATGCTTAATTAAGTGGTTTTTGTTGAAATGTCCATTTTTAGTAATCATCATTTTTAGTAAAATGGAGGACATAAATTATTCTTTTTTTGAAACTCGCGACGTTTGTTACAAAACGAGATACAAAGTTAGTACTTGATTTGAACTACTGGCAACCTTAAGCAGCAGAAGAATAGACAGAAGAGAAAATGTGAAACGCGGGGTCCTGTGCTATACTTTAAAAACATTCCATTTGACCCACCCTACTATTCAAAAAAACCGCATTAAAATTCGTTACGTAGTTTTAAAGATCTAAGCATACACAGGGATAGACAGACGGAAAGCGACTTTGTTTTGTATACGATTTTACGTTTCAGCCCACAATAGGCTATATATATTTACATCTGAGAATATAATTCTCGGAGTATACATATGTATAAAATATTATTTCTACGACGTTTTTATGGGGAAAACAGGGATGACGACTAGTTTTTGTTTGTTTGTCCGTCAGGTAGACTGTTGAAAAATATTAAACAGTTTTTTTCGTAATAATTAAATTACGGCTATACATTGAGTTAAAATGTTAAATGACTTCACGCTTTGGTACATTTTCTACAAAATTGTAACATAGCGAGCCCCCACTCCTCAACTTTGATACGAAAAGTTTGATTGATATCTATTATAAATATTGGTAACTAATTTGATAACACCTAATTAAATTGTAACGTGCAAGTGTTACAATAACGTCAAAATAAATTAAATAATATATAGATAACAAATGCAAAAAACAAAGGTTTAGTGAGAACAACTTTTGAGTAGGAACAATGTTGATTTTGAACAACTTTTGAATAGGGACAACTATTGAGTAAAAATAGAGTGATATTTTACCAGATTCATCACCAGATCCCTTGTCTTTGGACACATCCGCTTCTTTGTGTGTGAATAATTTTCTGCGTGATTTAGTTGGTTTCGGCGGACTCATAGAAATGGGCAACGCGCGTCTCGGTGCTGTGTTTACACGGGATTCTATTTCTAGAAAAAAAGATGATAATCTAATTAAAGAATATATATTTGTATATGTATACGCGGAAAAAACCTTTGGACCACTTAAGTTAAGAAATTACGAGCATAAAGAGAGTGTAGGATACAACGTTTTTTCTAAGTATGCTGTAGAAAAAAGACGTAAAATGTTGTACATAATTAACGGCTTCGCCGGCGTGTTCCTGGTGGTATATTTGGATATCGATTCATATCATGACACGGATATAATTAAAATGAAAAATGAAACAATGGTTACAATGGTAACGTTTACTCCCTATACAAACTTCCACTCCTATTTTTATCCCTTTTATTTTCTGGTTTTCAGGATAAAATATATGTTCACTGCATATTTATTTATAGGTATTTTCTGGGAAAACTCGTCCCATCTTAGGCCTTACGCTTAATATTATTACGCTTGAGGTCAACAGTGAGCCCATCTCGGATAAAAGAAAAAAATAAATCCCTTACCGTAGGAGTTTTTTTTTTTTTAAATTGGCCCAGTAGTTTCGGGGAAAACAAATAATCAAATCTTTCCTCTTTATAATAATAGTATAGAAAATTGTATATTTCAATGTTGGGTTAATTATAACGAGACAATTTCACAATCGACTTTGAAAGAAAAGTATAGTAAGATTTTATATAGTAATATCTCATACCAGATTTGTCGTGTGACGTGTCACCAGATTTGTCGTGCGATGTATCTGTTGTTTTGTCGCGTGATTTGTCACCGGATTCGTCTTGCGACGTGTCATTTGTTGTGGCGGAAGTGTCGTTCTCCGTCTCGCTGGAGAGGCGTAACCGTGTCGCTTTGTCCTCGCCCTCTTTATCTTTGTCGGGTAAGAGATCTAACAACGGTATATTCTCCATCTCAGCCTTTTTCTGTAATTGACAATAAATGATAATATAGTTTTCATCCACCAATTCGCACTGAGCCAGCGTGGATTATGGATTATTCTCCATCCATAGGGAAAATTTGTTCTCCATTATGCATCGCAAACTTGTGATGCTATCACGTGATGAATATAAAACAACTTTCGTAAAGGTCATTCATAGGATGGGTAACCAAAATTATTATATAGAGCTGGTCCTTGGTTAGAGGATACGTTAAGTTGTCGGCCGGTGCATCTACAGTTGTTAATACACGCTAATATGCGCTGGGATGTTATCAAAAATATAAAATCTCTTATAAAATTTAAATATGAAATTTTGTTAGATTGCAGATGCTTGGAAACTGAGAATTATGAGTTAGTATATTAACTAAAATAGAAAATAGCTATATTTGCAAGTTTTAATGGAATACCAATGTATACTAGTTTGTTATCTGATAATTAATGGTTATATTCAATTTGATGGGTGTCTCGAAGTATATACGCACGCACAAAAACGGTGTCAAATTCTTAAAGAATAGTTTGCTTTTTAAAATTACTATTACCATAATTTTATTTTTCATATACTGATATAACTAAAAAAGCATTCATTAAAAAAATTAATATGAACTATTGTTATATATTTCGACTGTTTGGAATTTCATAAAAATTGTTTTGGTGGATGATATTGCTAGGGTTGCTCACTTTTTTTTACAAAAAATAAAGTATAATAGACATAAATATTTATGCCTGAGAAGAATATTAAATGTATTTTAGAACAATGAATAGGATTATTTCAAGTCTTACTGAATAAAACAAATTGTGTCAGCATCTACCTCTAATACTTATATACTATTAGCATTTTGATTCTGAAACCAGTATTTTGTATACTTTATTTTTGTTCAAAAGTTAAAAATATTATGTAGTGAAAACCACTGTTTTAGAAGTATAGTTGGCAAAAATATATGGCGGCACGCTATGATGGCCGTTTTGACATATTACAATAGTGATGTCGAATGTCAATTTATTCTCGAACAAAAAAACAAATAAGTTTTGTTTTTGTACCTGATTAAATAGGTTTAATAAAACAAAAATGTAAATGTTTATTTAATATATTTGAACGAACTGAATATTTGAATGAAAATGAATATACATACTTTATATGCACACAAGAAACATATGAATACAAAAGATACCAAAAAAAGTGCCACAAAAGGCCATATTTAATCAGATTCGTCCATACTACTATTATTCACTGTCGTCATAGGTTAAACATAAACACTAGTATTTAAATTGATTTAGATGCATGTTGGGTTGGTAAGCGCTGAGGAGAACCCAAAATGAATTTTAGATCACAAATTATTGCATTGGCCTTCTCTTGACAGGGAAAACTGGCTGACAGGTGGAACTGAAAAATGTTGAGCTCGCTTACCAGAAGACGTCTGAGAGTCCTCGGCGAGGGCAGATCCGACGCTCTGGCGGCAGCTGGGAAGGTACGCTCCGGTAACCTTGCTTGAGCAGCCGCGCACGCCTCCACCCACAGCGGAGACACCACCAGCGAGGCCAGAGCACGTGCCCGAGCACGGGTACTGCGGCACCCACCTTACAACACAAAATCATCATCAACCCCTTTTAACGCCGGTTTCAAGACAATATAGAAAAGTTCGTTTTGGCTGGATGTTGTGGTACCTTCGTTGTTTCAGATACTCCATAAAACGTAGGCTTTAGCTACTCAATTTGGAATCTGAGTAATATATGTAATGTTGGTTAAAATTTAATATTTATTTTACGTCCCCAATGCAGGGGCTTAGGTCTTCCTTATAAATAGTTAAGTAATGGAGTGATAACCAGGCAGCTACTTGAATAAGATTAGTAATATACCAGGCAGCATTTTCTATGTCCTTCTCAGTCTATCACCTCTAGCAATAAATCTGACACCAAGCGTTTGAAAGAAATTATTTTACATTTGATCATTGATAGGATGTCTAGGTGAGCAATACAGCGCTGCGACTACAAGTAAACCCTGCCAGTAATTGATTGATATTATTGCGGCCTAGAGAAAAGATTACTTTAGTTGCGGAGCACCATACAGCATACACCTGAAGCCGTAGAGCTAGGCTTGGTTTTGCGCGAGAATATGCTGACTGGACTGTAGAGGAATGGAAGAACGAATTGTTCTCAGATGAGAACAGAATAGTCTTAAGAGATCCACATGGACGTCAGCGTGGCATGTCTACTGGCGTCAAAATGAGAAGTTTGCTGCATCTGCTATAACTGAAACAGTAAATTATCAGGGAGCGTCTATAATGGTATGGGGAGGTGTCTCTTATGAGGCTCGTACCGATCTCGTAGTGTTCGATAAAGGAACTGTAAACGATAAGGTTACGTGGAAGAAGTTCTTCAAGACCATGTCATATTTTTCGCTCCGTGCATGGTGACAACTTGTACCTTGAGTAATGAGGTCGGGATTCAAGTTTTATCATAGCCCGTACGCAGTCCCGATCTTTAACCCAATAGAGCACATTTGGGACAACCTTAAAAAACGTGTCCGAGCAAGAGTACCAGTTCCTACGACTATAGGAGAGCTATAAATGGTTGTAGTAGAGAAATGGCACAAATCGGATATTCAAGACATCGTCATAAGTGCTAGAGGTGGCAACACCCACTATTAATTTTTATTTTTCTTTTAATTGCCCCTATTATTAAAAAAAATCTAGTTTTGGTAAGCATCTTTTAATAAAAGACTTTATATCAAATATTTGCTGTTTCTTTTTCTTTAAGTATAGTTTTTAACATTCCTTTCATACAATATGGTCTAAGTTTGGCGATTTCTGCGAATTGAAAGAAACAAAAGGTGGCCGGTTAATTGTTGGTGAAATTGAATCAGGTGGGTCACCTTCTGTCAAGTTAGAAGTAAATATGCGAGTATTTTCTAATGAGTTCGACCTACTTCTGGTGATGAAAAGGCTAGGATGGAATGCCTGCTGAATTAGTTTTTTGTTTGTGCTGCCAGTAAATATTCACCTTCGCGAGAGCCCGATCGCCTACTCTCGCGGGATCTTCGGTAGCCTATTTCACACTTGCAGGCCCAAGTACTTGCGAGCGCCGGGGGTTAGCCGGATGGCATGACAGATCATATTCGCTATCATATTTCATGAAAATAATGAGAATATTCTCGAGTCACTTTCCCAAGATGCCACTGTCACTCTTTCAGGGTGAGTTAGACCCTAGCCTTGTAAAAACCTGTTTGGCAGTTTGCATATACCGCCAATTCTCGGTCGCCAGAGCCTCGTCAGTTGTCTAGCAGTGGGTACCACGGCATCCCGGTCATAAATCATAAATCTTACAAAAGAAGTATTGTCTTTTAATTCTATACCAAGACATAGCCAAGAAAATAGAAATGAATCGAATATATATATATATATATATATATATATAACCGAATATATTCGGGACCAAAACCGTATAATCCGGTCAACTACAAATAGTGAAAAAGATTCCGACTACGCGCAATACCGAATACCACACGAATATTGGGCGCATTTCTAGTTATCACCTTCCGATCCGCATTGGGCCATTGTGGATGGTTAAAGACTAACATCCTTAATTGTTCATAAGGAAGGCCTGAACCCCTGCAGTGGGGATGTAAAGGGGCTGATGATACAATAATAAGTGCTATACCTTGAGACCAGATGACATGTGTAACAATAGGTGTCCAAGCTGGCACCACCGTAGCACCAAGAGCAGTGAGTGCAGCTCGTAAAGGTAGCGCCCGGCATTCTGCACCAACTTCCACCAAAGCCACTACTCCTGCCAACACTTCGTTTACTTGTGCGTTTTGGCACTGAAATATATTATTTTATTAAATTAATCGTTGATAAAGACCAGTGACCTAATTGTCTAATTATAAAATCTAACGCAATTCCTTTTAAATTTATAACGATTGTGATTTTTGGAATCATGTACCGTTTAATGTCGCAATTGCTTTTGGAATAAATGATGATTTTAATAATCATTTTAATAATGAAGTAAAATTTACGTCCAACTCTAGCCTTACACAATAGGGGTGTAGATAACTTTTTATATTTTTATTTTATAGATATACATGAAATATATAAAAAAATGTTTTTAATATCATACAGGTAATAAGTTAAAATCTAAAAATATTAATAGGTATCGGTAATAGTATATTAAACACTATCAGAAAAAAAAAATTGTTTACGTCTACACCCGTATTCCAATAACGTTTAATTAGCAATATCTTTCAAGAAGACGTCACAATTGCAATCACATATGAAATTGTTGTATTGTTAAGAAAGTGAATATCTTTTAAATATCAAATTGAAGGGGATCACGATCAATTTTAAAATTAGACAATTAGACCTTTGAACATATAGTATGATGAACGCAATGATTTGAGAAATCAATCGAAAGTGAGACATTGCAAAACTGATATTTGGATGTCTCTTGAGTTCGTCGTACTACAGGTCTTGAGGTACAATTATTAGGAGAGAATGATTTTAACAGCGATAATTTATACATCATTGAAATCAACATCTATAGTATAATAACCCCCCTTTTCACTTTGCCATAGTCGGGTAAAAACAAAGTCGCTTCTCATTATCTGTACCCTGACATCTTTTAAACTACACAACGCATTTTAACGATGTTTTCATCAATATATAGAGTGATTCAAGAGGAAGGTTTATAATTCGATACGACAGCAAATACATAGTACAACCCGCAAAACGAAAATTGTTCTTAACAGCAGAAATACAAAAGTTAATTAATACTAGGATCACCACAGCTCGCTTATAGCAGCAGGACAGCCCAAAGGTTGGTTTTATCTTTAATACTATTGAATTGAATTACATAATTTGTGAAAGGATGCCTATGCAACCAATTAATCTGAAGCTGAGAGTTGAGATAAACAATAAATAAGATTTTCCATGAAAATACAAGACTTACCAATCTAGTATTATATATTTTGCCTGATTGAACATAATTGGGTTTTAGTTTTGAACAACCAGATTTTACAGGTTGCTTTATCATCTGTTTTTGTCTGTTCAATGCTGTCAGAGATTCACCAGCAGTGCCTTTCAATTCAGACCATTCCTCTCTTAATCGGATTCTTTCAGCAATTGCAGAGCGGCGCTATAAAGTACAATTGACAGTAATTCTATAATAAAATTTTAAATATTTGATAAACTAACTTCATTTATCAAAAATGTAAGTGTCATACATAATCACATTGCTATCCATAATCACATTGCTATCCATAGTCGCTAGACTTTTATACAATTCTCTTGGAATTTTAGCAAGTGATTGGGTTAGGAATAGTTGCCAACTCTAAAGTTTTAAAACTGTTTGTTTCAAGTTATGTAACATACATACACTAAATGACAACTTTTAATTTTAATATAATAAGTTAACTATCTTATTTGTTTTACAGATTTGAAAAGTGTAGAACAGGATTAAAATTAAAAGTCTAGTATATACTACAGAGTTAGTGTTACTTGCCTAATATGACAAATTTCTTTTTCTTAACTAAAAAATTAACTATAACATTTAGAGTATGGAGAAAGCTATAAATACATGGTAATGACCTCAATTGGAGTGTCGATATGAAAGAGCAATAGACATATAGCAATGTTTAATGTGATTTGTACATGTACAATAGAGAGTCATAGGCTAGTCTTATTAATTAGTAATCAAACTCACCAGACCAGCAGCGCTTCTGTTATTTTCTTTATTCATGTCAACTACTGTCAACTACACTATAAACGTTTATATATATATTTAGCTAAAACAAAACAATAAGGTCTACACAACATAAAAATAAATGTAATGTTTACTTCACAAAATATTTGTAAACCATACAAAAGCAAAACTAAAATAGAGATTGGTTGTAAATGTATATTTTATTCTACTTACTTATGTTCGATTAAATGTTTGTACCAATAGAGGTAGATATAATTTTATGTGAAATAATGTATGTGTAATTTTTAAGGATAATTAATAAATAAAAAAAAAATATTTACGACTTAAATATAAATCAAGAAACGGCAAATGTAGAAAACTAAAACCCAAAACTCCCAAAACAAAACAAAACGCAATGTTTATCGTTAAAATCACATATTAACATTGTCAAAGAGTAAAAGTATACCTAACCAATCTTTAAACAAAACAAACAACCGCGCTGTCTATACATCTGCGTTGTAGTTTGACATATTTCTTTTTTATATTTTAACAGCATCGGGTTCTTACATTTTTTGCCTCTTGTTTTTGTCTTCTTCAATAACATTCACAGTTTTAAAACGTAGTTAAAATTACGAAATTGATAAGTTTGTATTATTTATGTAAGTATGTAATAGTTTGAAGGACCTTGAATCACCGAGCAGCGTAAGTAAAATGTCACTTTCATTGCTAATTGTAAGTTCACAGTCCCTGTCACTACGAAACACTTTTTTCGGTTAATTCCCTTGCTAAGACCAGTCTATATATTTTAAAATCTTGATTTCATTAATAAGTGGTATAGGTCAGCATTTTTTTAAATACACTTAGCATCACTGATAGATAACATAAGTCTATGCAGATGAACGGGAGACTTGAATTGGCCAAATCTCATTTTGTATATGTTGGTAATCAAATGAAGAAGTATTTAAAAAAACAATTAGTTTCCGAAGTCAAATTAAATATCGCTACGGTACTTACTTGATTTTTCCATGACACGACATGCCTTCCGGCTTTCTTTTATGTATAAAAGTAAATTATTTTCAAAACTCAATAAACAACTCATATTATAAGTATTTGTACTTTTTCTTATTTGTATTGAAATTTTAGTTTCGAAATAAGTTGATAAATGATTATTTTTGGTCCATTCGTTTTACGCAAAAATCAACGTTTGCTAGATTCGCCATCTAGTGGACGTTCTTTTTAGTCCTTTTTTTAAAATACCTCCTCATTAACCGATCCTTTATGTGTAGATGAGTTTGACATGACATATAAAAAATTGCCATTACAAACTTGTAATTAGTCATGATTTCGGAAAATAAACAAATTTTGTCCTCAAAAGTATAGATAATATAATACTGACAAAATTTTGGTGATGTATTTTCATCATTTTGCAATTAAATGACAAATACCATGACCGTTTAATGCAGTGATTCCCTAAGTGGTCCAGGTGAACCCCCAGGGGTCCACGGGGGATTCAACGGGGGTGTACGTTGGCGTGAAATAAAAATAGGGGTTCACAAGTTGTAAGTGGGGTCCACGAAAATTTATTATTAATCTAATATTATAATTATCTGGTTACGATAGTAAAGATCAAAAATGTTGGCTTGGCTTTACTTACATATCAATGTGCAGGTAGGCGATAATATTGTCAGAAGGTCAGCGTGTGTTACTTGTAAAAACTTGCTTTTTCAATATTCAGTACAACGCGTGTCGATACTTGCAATGCGCCGCCGCCGCCTGCCCGCACGCTATGCTTGTTCAGAGGTGCACAGCTATAAAATACCACTTCTGTTGTGCTTAAAATCTTGTATGAACTTGTTTGATTCTTCACCCGGTACGTAGGTACCTAATAACAATTAAATACTGAACATTATTCGATTTATTTTGTACTTTTTATTATTTACCCGGCTGTAGTTATTCACCAAAGGAGGGATATATATAGGGTTGCCAGATAGCGAGACTAAAATATCTGGACAAAATTTGAAAAAGTCGGGATTTTGGGATCACAGTCGGGACAAAAAAAAATGCTAATAAGAAATCCACTTTTTATTAATAAAATATTAAAATAATAACAAGTATCTACTTTTTGTCATTTTATACGATTACATAATGATAGTATAACATTTAAACAGCTTATATACCTACTTATTATATTTTTATGATATTTTTTATACTTGGAATTGGATTTTACAGAATCTAACAATTTTGTCGGGACATATTTGTTTTTTTCGGGACTCTGGACATCATACGAAATGTCTGGACAATCCAGACGAATCCTGACCATCTGGCAGCCCTAGATATATATGATTGACCTGCATGTTTGTAATTATTTACTTGTTTAATTTTTTGTAGGATGATACAGGTCTTGGCAGAAAGTAAATTATTCTAGCTATACTATGCTATACTCTTGAATATTTTTTTAGGTAGGTAACTGATACGAATTTACCGATTATTGTATGGGGTCACCACTTTACCGAAATGTTTTGTGTTTTATTTATAAATTTAAAGATTGATATTTAACTTATTGGTAAGTTTACTATCTGACTCTATTTATGTGAAAGTTCGGTAAAATAAATAAACGTGTTCACAGTTATGTAATTAATTATACAGTTTACTTTGTTTTTTGCACGGACACTTTGGCGTATTTAATAAATTGGTTAAACTGTAGAAATATGTTCCAATATTGCTTTATCGACTGCAGCTAAGACTCGATTTTGCACTCTCCAAAAAGGATTGTGACGTTGGTGGTTATGCTTCTTTCTATATGTCGAATCTCACAGTCTTCTTGACCTTAAGTTGTTATGAATAAATATTTTATCGCTTTTGTTGTGAGAAGTTGATTCTGAGGCTCCTTGTAAGTTTGAAAGTGACTGGGCTAAATTACTTATGTATTCACGTGTATTTACCGATGTTTTATAGTCTGTTATGAATAAATCACCTGGCAATCTAAGACTAGTTCCGTATAAAAATTGTGAGGGGCTATAGCCTAGGGCTAATTTGATAGCTGTACGTAAGCCTAGTAGAACTCACGGTAATTGCTGTAACCATTGTGTGTTATCCATACATTTTGCCATGATAGCTGCCTTTAAAGTGCGATGTAGTCGTTCAATCATACCGTTCGCTTTTGGATTGTATGCGGTTGTACGAACGCGTTCGATACCGAGTCGTTTTAATAATTGTGCGTATAAGTCGGACTCGAATGGACGACCTTGATCTGAAGTTATCCGTTTTGGACAACCGAAACGAGCTATCCAGTTTTCTATTAAAGCTTTAGCAACTGTTTCAGCTGTAATATTTTTCGTGGGTATTATTACTTCAGGCCACCTTGTTACTCTATCTATCATGGTTACGCAATACCTATAATCATCGAAATATGGTAACGGACCTATGAAATCTATATGTTCATGTTCGAAGCGTGACGCACCATCAAATTCGCCTATAGGTAAATGTGTGGCGTTGTATTTTACTTTTTTGACAAGGAATGCAACTTTGGACATATTTTTTTATATCGCTATTCATATAAACGCAACACTTTTCACCATTTCAACTGTAAAACTACTGAATTAAAATTACCAATTACTAATCACCACCAAGACACTTAAAGGTATACCAGTGAAAATAAGTGAATAAATTGGCTTGATAATAATCTTCACATCGTCGATCCCGCAGTGCCTAAAGACGAAAGTCTTTAATCAGTGCGTCCTACCCGTTATGACATACGGAGCCGAAACGTGGACACTGACGGCACGGCTGGTCCACAAGTTGAGATCGCTCAGCGGGCTATGGAAAGGGCTATGCTCGGCGTTTCTCTGCGGGATCGAATAAAAAATGAGGTGATCCGGCAGAGAACCAAGGTTATCGACATAGCCCACCGGATTAGCAAGCTGAAGTGGCAGTGGGCTGGCCATATTAGCCGCAGAACCGATAACCGTTGGAGTAAACCAGTTCTTGAGTGGAGACCGCGTCTCGGCAAACGTAGTGTAGGACGTTCTCAGGCGCGGTGGAGTGATGATTTGCGCAAGATGGCTGGCAGGAGCTGGATGCGAACAGCCGAAAATAGAAGTAGATGGCGTGCAATTGGGGAGGCCTATGTCCAGCAGTGGACGAATATGGGCTGATGATGATGATGATGAATAATGAGGAAGTATTTTTAGAAAAAAAAGAAAGCACCCAGTAAACTATTGAATATTTGGCTACGTGAAACGTAGAATTATTGGGTTATCCGCCGTATAACCTCTACCTTGCGACAACATTTTAATTTAAAAACATTTATTCACGAGAATAAAAATAAAACTTCGAGAATAAGAAAGGAAACAGTGATAGATAATCAAAGAAGCAGTGGCTGCGTTTCAAAAGAGATCCTTTAGGAGAACTGGGAGAAGCGTTTCTTCAGAGGTTCTATTGTATGCAGCGATGTATTGATGAAAATGGACATAATTAAAAAAAAAACATGACTTATTATTATGCTTAGTTTTTATTTTTGTGATAACTTTCAGTTTGACCCATTTTAGGTGTCGTACTAGCCAAAGAAAAAATGGAAAGCTATTATTTTATTAATTTTAATAATCATTAAGTATATGTTGTTTTTCTAAGAAGTAGTTTGTACTTCAAATAGACTTTTTAATGTGAACCCTTCTTTTAAAGGTTCTATGGCTAGACCTAAATATGGGCTGTAAACTGGCTGAACTTCAGAATCATCTCTATGTTGCGCTAGCTGTGATGCCAAATACAAGTTGGGTCCCATTTCTCCGCGCGGTTCTCCTATTTCTTCAAGGTCTGCTATGTCATCGATTGTAGCTGTAGCTTGCTGGAACAATATTTTTTTTCATGAGCTAATTAAGTTCTTAGGTTTTAGAGGAAAATAATTATCTTTTGTTTATAATAAAGAAAGATTTTGAATTTTATTTAATTTATATTTGGATTAAAAAACAATAGTATACATATCTCGATATTTTTTCAAAATTATCGTATATAATACTTTTTTAAATTAATATATTATTAAAGAATTTTTAACTCAAACCTTAAAAAAGAAGATTTTCTGAATTGAGAGATAACTATTCGACCGCGAGCTCCTATTTTGCTTCTTATTTTTTCTTGATATGGATTCTTTTCCATTTCGACCTCCTTATACCTAGTCCTGGTTCCAAGATTACCTGACAAGCCTAACTGACCTCATTGCTCCAATTCATTTCAACCCCAAATATAGGTTTATCTGTATAGGCCTGGTGCAACGCTTGTAGTTCCGTGAGCAGAGATCGTAGACGTTCACGAGGGTCCGCTCTGAAGCCGAGCACGTAGCCTCCAGACGAAGGACGGACTACGAACACCAAGGCCTCACCGAACTTCGACTCACGGACGCTGATCTGTGAAGAGAAACTTTATGCTTAGAAAGAGAATTTGGTAGTCATGATTTGTATTCCTACTAGCAAATTGCCTGTTAGATGACAGTGCTATTTTACCGACCTAGTTTATTAATTTCCCCAATGTCGGGTTGGGCACAGGCCTAAAAAAATTTGTCTATCATCCTTTCGCTGAATCTAGCATCCTTTTGAATCAACCAAATTATATAGGAGTTCAATGACCCAGGGTGCAATAGACATATTAAGCCGAACATATACTCACTTCGAATCGTCGACAAGCTGTGCCATTTATTTTTAAACTTTCTTCAGAAGACAAGGCAGCGATTCTCATTCTCATTCAATATACAAATAATTGGATTAGTAGGATATGAGTAGGTGGCATGTTATAAGATCAATACCACAGTAGTATGCGTAGCCACGTTTGCAAAAACTGATCACAGGATTGTTGATATTTCAATATCATCTGCAGTCTTTAAGCCTGTTCCCAAGCAGTGGAAATAATATGAGGGTTTCAGCTCTGATTGCCCGCAGTAGAATAATGGCCCACGCACTGTCGATTGCTCAACTATAACATTTGATTAACTCACGCTCTCAATGGTGATGTACGGCATGGAGACATTAAATGCATCATTGATCTCAGCATACCAGACCACTCGGACATTGGTCACCAGTAACGTACCTAAGTTTCCAGAATCACTGGACAGGTTCCATATATTGTGCTCCTGGAGGCATATCTGTGAATTCGAGTGAAAACTAAATCAAGAGCTTGCTTTAATAAAGTCAAAACGATTAATAAAAGCGAAAAGTCATTCTCGAATCTTCAATTAAAGTCGGATTTGTGTAGGTTAATAATATAATATCGCCCTTGTAATTGTTATGTTGTGGTATTTACAAATCATCATCGCCAGTCCCTTAATGTCCCCTCTACTGGAGCTCAGGCCTTCCCTATGGATGGAATCGTATAGGGAGAATGTGGCATGATCTATCACGTGGGTTCAGTGCGGATTGGTGGGTATTAACGATTGCAGATGTAGCTGGGAACTACGGCTTAACATGCTTTCTGAAGCACGGAGGAGCTCAAGATAATAGATTTTTGTTCACTCTTATTATGAACGGCCACTGTCAAGGTTGGTTTAAAACTGTATTTTGAACAACTATTTTTTTTTTCATTTAAGTATTGTTAATAGGTAACACAAAAGCCCTAAAATACTGGGTTTTGACTGTATTTTAATATTTAAATAAAGGATGTTATTACTGATAAAAAATTTCCTTTATAAATACTCATAATTCATCCTTTTGTCGATAAAGGATTTACCTTTTCTAATGGGAGCATTTTCAATTGTTTGTTGTGTATTAGGGTTCCTCTTAGCTTCAAATCTCTATACATTCTTGAGCCCATGTACGCTCTGTAATAATATAATGTCGCATAAGCTTATAATCGAAATCTAAAACAACGAAGTAGCCACAACACACAGACCCGAAATAATATAGAAAAGGGCCGCATGGTATGGCAGACAGATTGTCTGCTCTAATTTTAACCTTAAAAACTCAGTATAAAAAAAAAAAACTTTAGTGCTTTGAACAAAAGACCATGCTTTTAGTTTTCAAAAGTACAAAATTTTCAGTACCTAAGGAGTTTCCTCTGTCAATGTCAAACTTACACTCTTTAATCGGTGTACCTTAATAAGTTTTGTTGTGAATTTTATTAAAATCTTATTGCCTAGGGTTTCATTGAGCCGGCGCTGGCTATTTTCTATATTGACTCGACTGGAAATCGAACCCAGGACTTTGGAGATGGTGACACCTTGAAACCGGCTCACGAGCCACTCGGGTAAAGTTACTTATGTCTTTATAATTACTTATGTACTCCAACAACAGTGGTATAATGCCTCACGCAGTTGGGAGATAGATTTGTGAAGATGAACTCATATCTGTTGTTCTTATACATCGCGAGGGCATATAGAGCCTGTGTTGTGCCCCTCAAACCTGAGTTCACCACCTTCGTACTCGTAGACAGTACACAGTTCAGACCAATGGCTGCCAAAGAAAATTTAAGTCCGTTAAGTAACAGTTAGAAACCATGGAAAATTACCTTTAGTTTTACTTACAAAGATTGATCCTCGGTGACGCTAAAGAGTGCCAAATGATTCTCAGGTTTGATATAACCATTCTGCCTTTAACACCACTGTTGCCTTTACTGTCTTCTATTGGTTCGATTCTGTCAAATATCTTCTCGCCAGGTCTTAACCGTAAATATCTGAAGGGATTATATTTGTTAAAAAAGGTACTTCACAAACTTTTTTACAATATTTATTATAATAAAAATCTTATTATAATCTGAAAACTTCTTCAGTAATTGTTAATTTCTTCTATCTACAATAATATTATTGAACAAAATTTGTACCAGAAAATTAATTATTACTTCATACGGAATAAAGATTTCATGTTTTTAAGCACAATTTTATTATCTTCTCTACATAGTATCAACAAAGTCGCTTGCTCTATCCCTATGTATGCTTTAATCTTTAAAACTAGGCAACGGATTTTGATGCGGTTTTTTTTCATAGATAGGATTCAAAAGGAAGGTTTTTATGTATAATACAACACCACGCGGGCGAAGCAGTTGGCGGAACGCTAGTATTTCAATAAAAACGATAAATATAAGAGCAAAATTACTGCACTTGTGATGCGATCCACCAATCGTCCGAGATCAATTTGAATGAACACGTGACGAGTTTGTTTGCATTTGAAATAGGGCTTTTAACTTACGTACTCTATACTAGTCTCAATCTTTTAAACTGTTGTGTTTTTTTATATACAAAATTAATATCACCACTTGCACTAACCTATTCTATTTCTCCGAAAACGTATTTTTTTTTCTATTTGCGAAATGCTAATACGCATTTTAATACGAGGTAAGACCTGACATTATGATAAGACCTGACGGTATGATTTAAACAAAATTATAAGAACTATTCGATTTTTTTATGAATTTTCGTTCGGGCTAATAGAATACCCCCCCCACAGGTATCACGTTAATTCGTTCGAGATATATGTCAGATTACAAATAATACTTGTAAAGTTCCGTTTATTTCATTGACTGGCCTCAAGTTTCGTTGCGTATTCATAAAGCACCTAACATTATAACCAACATACTCACTGGAATGGTAAATCAAATAAAACCTCTCTGTCTTCCCACACTGCACCTGTCTTTTTAGATTTAGACATATTTTATCTAATAATTACTTTTTATAAACAATCTATGATCGCTGTTAAACTTGTGTTAAATAGTCTTTTACAAAGCGGACAGTACACTCGTTGTCATAGCAACGTCCGTGCAACATTAAAAAGTAGAGTAATAGCGAGCTTTGAGCCTTTTCCCTGTTATTTTATGGTTTTGAGTTTCTTTTTCTTATCATGTTAATTTTTCTTGAATTTCATTAGGAACCCCAAAATTGCGCATGGTTCCATCGGCATCGGACCATGTCGGCATTCCGCGAACAGCGCTGGTTGATTTTAGGTTAGCGGATCATCGTTTAACTTTAATTAATAAAATATTATTTAACACCTTGTTTACATCAGCGCGCTTATCGCGTTCATTTTTTCGTTTGCCTCTAAAGCAAGCCGCAACCATAACGCCTGCGCTAAAACTGGCTCCACTAAAGCGCATGACACCAACGCACGTTTTGCGTGCATTGCGTGCGTTTTAAACTGATACTGCCATTTACCTTATATTTGGAAACAATATTTAAAATTCTGCAAACAATTTCGCCTTCTTCTATTGACGACAAACGTGAGTTAGGGTGTGCTTACTTAAAGTAAATTTGAAACCCATCAACTTCTTTCTAAAATTATCTTTAATGTTCGAAATCACACTCATAACCCTGGCGTCATCTTTTAATAACATTTTTTGCAACAAATTTAACAGTGATGGTGATGACTTGGTTTTTGTATTCTTTGTTAATGGTAAAGAAATGACATCGTTAAAGTGCAAAGTTCAACGTGTTCAACAATAAACTAATTAACAAAGCTCGTTCTGTCATGTTAGCGGCCCAATTTGCCCGCGTAATCGTTGACATCTTAACAAGATGGCGTCCTTAAAATTCTGCGTAACTCTATTATGAAAACCTGTCAGTGAGTTTAAAAGCGGCTGAGTGCCAGAGTGGTCCATAATTGAAGAAAACATCTTAAGAGCTTAGTTCGACATTATCAGATTTGCCGTCCCTTGTCGAATTAACTCTTTACAACTTTGTCGCAAGTTTGTATTCGTTAGATGTCGCTAGTTTTTGTGACAGTGCAGAGCTGCTAATATTCCGTTGCGTGTTCTGGATTCCGCGCGCCAAAAGGAGAAAACGGAACGGTTATAGAGTTATTTATATAAAATTCTATTAAGTTCGTCAGTCAGGTATACAAAAATATTAGACACATTCAAATTTTGCTTCAACTTGATAAGAAGTTTTTTAATAAATTCAAGATAAGTTTAAATATAATCAAAGAAATAAGTGAAATTTAACATTACACCTCAACATTACGAAATCTTCTCTTAGTGCTCGCAGTATATCTTATTATAATTCCCAAGGATCACTTGGACTCAAGCGATCATGTATCGACATGGTAAGGGACAAAACGATCGGATGACGGTGATTTCCGCCGGCCGGACGGCAGCAGCCTGACCGGACGCGCCACCGGTAAACAATTATGCACAATATCCTCACGTCAATCTTTATTGAAATGAAATGGATAATTTTAGTATTATCTCAATGAGACAAGACCGGAATAAGACCACGAAAATATTTTTTTAATTTTTTCGTTCTCTTACTCTAAAAACTCCGACATTACTCATTAAACGCACCAAAACTGGAATAAAACAGTATTTCCTGCTGTTGGTTGAAAAGTCTTTTTTATTTTTCGTCCAACGAGATTACAGAAAAGCATAGTATTTATAATAATCCAAGAAACTTAAATATTTTATAATAATTTGGTTTATCACGCTTTACTACGCTGATTTATTCTATGTGCCGCCACACATCTTTTCTTGTAGAGAATGCCTAACTGCATTAAGTCCGCCGTTTGTACAGTTTTTATTGCGTGCAAAGAAGTATAAATAAATATCACAAAATTCAAATTTCATCTCAATTAATATTTTGTAAGTTTATTTAATATTTTCGAAACTATTATACACTGCTGTTATGGCTATACCAACGCAGTGAAATCCATTAGCATAGTCGGAAAGACTCCGTTGGGAATCACCGAGATCGGTACCACTGCCGGTCCATTTCAGACTTCCGCATCATAATTAACAGACATTATAATCTATCGTTTTGAAATCCCTATAGTTTCAATAGTCTAAGAAGTCGCGACAAAAATGTGCAAGAGCTTCATATAGCTTGATATACATCACTCAGGGTAATGTAAAGTAAGAAAAATCGTAACACATATTAATTTATAAGTATTTGTGTATTGATGTTTTATTTATATATAGTGTATGAGGAAGCAAAGGTGTTTAAACAATTACCTAATGACGTTAAGATTTGTAATAGTTTAAATGTTTAAAAAAAAGCTATGCAACATATACAATACAAGATTGTACTGCAGTGTAAACCTAGCATAATAATTTTATTGTATTCATACTCATCTCATTATAAGTAAAATGTAAATTTCTTATGAGAATAAAGTTTTTTGTATATAATGAGTGCTATATGTGTAAGTATATTCTTTCTAATTGTATAAGTGTAATGGTATGCACCTACCATTACTCTATATAATGTCTCCACACCACCTAAAGGTTGACTGGCAGAGAATGCTCAAGACATTAATTTCGCCATTGTTTTATATAAGTGCATAAAATATTAAATAAATAAATATTGAATGTGATTTTTAATAGTATAAAATTAGCAAAAAACTTATAATTTTTATAAAAAAGTAGACCAAACTGCTAAAATTACATAATTATGCAATGCGGCGACTCAGTGGATCTCAAAAGTTGGCGTGAAAATGATCTCCGAAAAAGAGTTGTGTAATGGTTGAAAGTTAATATATTGCTTAATTATTGATAGATAGTACTACTACATAAAAAATAGCCAGAATTTCATTTAATATTACAAACGTGTCGTAGCTAAAAGTTTGTTACGCGATGCCGCCACCAGGTGTTCGTACCTTTGAACTGGGTACCGAGTGATGTCTTCCCTTAATACTTCAACATACTAAAGAAAAAAATACATTAATTGACCACACAATAAGCAATGTTATAAACATTTATTTATAAAGAAAAAAGCGAGGCCAAGACGGGTTCCTACCTCAGCAAATATCAAGTTTTGAAAGCTCAAGCACATTTTTGTCGCGAGCTCCCCATCTATAAATTGTTAATTATTATTCCTACGGGTCATCTGAATATGGTAACTTACTATTTGGTCTATGCTTTAGGTAGTTGTGTTACAGTGGTTGTTTACATTTTAGGTAAAAAAAAAGCTAAATATACTACGGAAATTATTTGCGGAGTTTTGTTACCATCAGACCAATGAATTATTTAAATATGTAGCTCATAAGAAATAAAAAAAGTTCAAAAACTAAAACCCACCTACAGCTAAATCACGCTCTAAAACTTTAAAATAAGAAATTTATTTTATAGCGACAGCTATATTATAATAGCAATGACTAAAGGATAGCGTAGTCGTATGCCACTGGTCATAACAAAACAAATGTTGATGTGGTATACCAGTGAGGATTGGTATGTGTTAATGACTGTAGATGCAGCCGAAAGCAACATATTAATGTGCCTTCCAGAGTACAAGGGTAATCACCATTTTTTGATCACCCATCCCAGAACCGACCCTTTCGAAGGTGCGAAAGAAACAACGCGCTAATCACTGCTTTATCAAGCTCCTCTAATGAAAATCTTTTCGTTTACCTTAATATATACTGTGTGTAAACAACTGTTACACTTTAACTCATCCCTGCAAGGGTTGCCAGTTGTCGTGTCCGACTAATAATTTTGATGTCTGGTCTATACGACTTTTTTTTAGGATATTGCTTATAAGTCAAAGTATGTCAAAAATAAATTCATTTAATGATTGTGATTCTTACCCTTTTATACAGCATTATAAAATGTCCGACCTAATACAGTGCAGTGGTTTTTTTTATTTAGAATGTGGCAACCCTACTCTCTGTGCACTACTCCCAACTAGAGTGCAATCATTTGGTCACTCTAGCCATAACTGTAGCCAAAGGACACGACATATTAGCGATGTTATTCCGATATTTACTGTATTTTAATAACAACGAACGAATTATCTATATTTTGACAACATGTTACCGATTCTGTCATCATCATATGTATAATTATATGTCATATCATCATAAGACATAACAAAGTAGTGAAATGAAATGAAACATCGCCATAACATCGCTAAGATATCGTATCCTATGGCTAGAGAATTAAGTGGTCGCACCCCTAAGCATGGAACATGATATATCCCTCCCTCCCCCTAGTCGT